CCCCGCCTTGTGGGAGGACGCAAGGAGAGATCCGCCGTGCTCTGTGCTCCGCGCAGGAGCGAGTGATGGGAGACAAGGCCAGGCCGGGGGCGGGGCGGGCAGAGCCCAGTCGCCGTGAGAGGCACATCCAAGACGGAAGTGCGTCTCGCCCAGGCGTCAGCGGAAAGCCATCGGGAAGCTGCTGTACGGCACGGAGAGCTGTGTCTGTGGCAGCTTCACAGGCGGGAAAACGTGTCTGAAGACGGCTGTGTGAGACACACATGTCCCCCAAAGGTCAGCCTGACCTAAGGGAGGCTGTGATGGGAACGAAAAAGCAGGGGGGAGAAAACACAGATCCCATGAGGGAAAGCAAAGCCAAGATGAGCATGTTTACCCAGGGAGCCTGCTCCCCTGCGCAGGGCGAGAGGCGGGCCCCATGGTAGGAACAGGAAGGGTTCCTTCTTTTCTTTTTTTTTTTTTTTTAACTTTTTTGCATCTTTCACGATTTTCTACAGTGCACACTGTAGAAAAATACTATCACGCCTTCCGTCAAACAGGGAACTTTGTTAAAACAGTAAGCGGCCTTGGAAGCTGCGGCACCGTGGTGGAGAGGGGAGAGCAGGCTGGGGAACGTCTTATGCAGCATCCACAGGATCGGGCGACGGCCTGGACCGAGGGGGCAGGAAGGAGAAGCCGAGGGTGACGAGGAGTTAGGGGGCGGCAGCGTCTTACAAGGCGCAGAACAAGGGGGAAGGATACATTCTGAACGATGGAAAAGAACAACATCACATTTACACATGTTAAGTGTGAACGGACTATGGATTCGCGTGTCAGTTCCACATATCCAGGGGGTCGGCGTGCCAAAGGAAGGTCTGATTCGGAAATAAGTGGCCTTGGAAAAGTGGTCAAAATAATGGGAATCGATGACATCACAGGAGATGACCCTAAGCCAGGGAAGTGTTTGGAGGGGAGGCAAGAACAGAGGGAACAGAAAGTCACCGTGGAAACACCATGGGACTAACTGCTACGGGCAAAATCCACCGGCTGGTGCCCACGTGGGCAAAAGGTGAAGGAGAACAAGATACCGAGACAGCTTCAAAGCTTCTCCCCAAAATATTAAGTGATTATAAAGGGGAAGAGAGTAACTGCAGAGTGAAGATACCCGGAGACACCCCCTAACCCCCTGGTCACGTGACACAGCGGCGTCGCGTCCCGGGAGAGGACGCCCTGAGGTCAGAAGGGTGCACCGTCACGTCGGCGGAATACTCGCTACCGACGCGGGACTCCAACTCTGTCGTCAGGTCGCCCCCGACGGGGGGGGCGGGGGGGGCATTCTACGAAGTAACCGGGGAGCCAGCGCTCTTCAAAACATCAAGTCACCAAAGACGAGGAAAGACCGGATAATTGTCACACTTGGAGGAGACGAGGAGACATGACACCCACACACAATGTGTGATTCTGGAACCAGAAAAAGGGGGCGGGGAGTCAACGGAACAATGATGAAAGCCGAGAAAAGCCTGCGGCCGCGGGACTGCTGAGCAGCGCGGCCCGGCAGCGCGAGACGGCCCGTCATGAGGGGCGGGGGAGGGCCCGGGGGGCTCCCTATCTGGGGGACACGTCTAATACGCCCAAATTAATGCCCAATAAAAATTAAAAATGAGACAGGCAGCCTGGGGGAAGGTAACGGACTCTCTACCTCACATATTGTACTAATATGACTTCCTTGAGAATATTGCTTTTACGGAAAACATAAAAACCCAAGGAAAGAAGATGAGGGAAAAACATAAAAACCTGAGGAAAGAAGATGAGGGAAAAGAGCTTTACCACCTGCGAGCATAGACGGCCCAAGAGGCACGAACAATCAAGCCGCAAAGAAGAGACCGACCCATCTGAGCACATACAATTGTGTAAATCTGCACGGCAAACAGCATAGTAACCCCAGGCACAGGGCAAAGGCCTGGCTTCGCACCATCTCCCCCTCACGGCGGAGTGTAAATAGTGTGCCAGCCGGGGAAACAGAGGCAACGCAGGAAAAGCACAGCCGCGGCTCAAGGTCGGCCACTCGCAGGAAGGCCTGCAGTTGAGTTCTCCTTATCGAGTGCCATGGATTCTAAAACATGCAAGTCCATTTGGAAAGCAAACCACTATGCGCATCACGCACCATTTACTCCTAAGTGTGCGTGTGCACACATGCAGGCACAGACACACGTGCAATCATACGTACACGCACACTCCTACATGCATACTTCAGGCCAAGCACCCTCTCTCTCAACACGCTGACTCCAAATTCAGGCATAATAATCGGCGAGCAATTACAATAAAAACAGTACAAGTGACCACGGGACCGTTAAAACAAAGGACTTCACGTATGTCTTGGTAATTTGGAATTTTTAGCCTGACATAAATGAGAAAGAACAAGCTTAAAGAAAATTACGGGTTAAATACACTTGCCGCCGCACCCACTCAACAGATTTAATTTAAAACTCAAACGTCATCCTATTGGAAGGGGAAATGAGAAGCTAATAACCGGCAGTGAACTTTCCACAAAATTAGTACGTAAAGTGAGAGATAGGAACCTAATGATGAATGTGAAGCAATGGCTGGCATTTTAACCGACTAAGCAAAATGTAATTGACAAGGAAGCAAATCTAAACGAGTTTCCAGCTATTTCGACACTGCGTGCAGCTGCATGCTCACTGCCAGGGGTACACAGGAGGGAAAAAATAAATCAGCCAGTACGCGCACACACACACTCTGCTGCCATTACCACTCCTTCAATAGGGGGAAAAGGGTATTTTTTTTTCCAAAAGTAATTTTTTAACGTCGGAATATTTCATCTGCAGTCACTTCATATTGGTTGGAAAGCACGTGGAGGCAAAGGAAAATATTAACGCGTTTCTGGAAGCAGAATTCTTGGAATGAAGTCAAGGTGAAAAACTTCCGTTCTCAAGCAGAGGCTGACACTGACAACGCCTGGGCGAACGGCCGTCGCCCGCCCTCCGCGCCCCCTCCGCGCCGCCGCCGCTGAGTGCTCTGGCGCTGGCCCCAGGCTCCCGGCCAACCCCCGACTCCACCAATCCTTGCCCTGCGACTTTGAACAGGTGACTTACCCGCGCTGCCCCTCCCTTTCCTCATCTTAGGGTTAGGGCGGGAGCAGACCTTCCGGAAGCGCAGTGAGAGCTCCATGTGTCCGCGTTTGCGAGCCCGGTGCCCAAGGCCCGCGGGCTCTCAGGGCGGGCGCGGTTTTCTGTTAAAAAACTGAAGCAGAAGCCTGTGGGAAGCCCGCCATGGCTCTCTGGTTGGATCTGAGCGTGAAGTACTGTCGTTTCCCATCCCTCCTACCCTGTGCTCGAAGGACGGAACCCGGGGAACATCTCTGGGTCTGACTGCAGCGCCCCGCCCACCGCAGGCGACACCGGAACACAGCTCTCTGAGCGCAGGCTCTGGGCTCTTGGCATCTTTCCCTGCGAAACGCCACCCGCCCTCGAGGGGCGGTCTGGGGACCGCCGTGCACCTGGCTTTGCATTTGATCTTTATCCAGATCCCCTGGAGGGTCCTATCAAGTGTTTTCTGGCTCCTTCTATTTTCCCAGGTCATGAAAAGGACAGGGCCCAAAGGGGACGCAGAGCGAGTTCCTCTGCGCTCTTCCCTTTAATTTACGGGAAGCTCCAACATCTGAACTGAAGGAAAAAGGCCAAGCCTGCAGGCATCTTGGCAGGGCGACGAGTGGCCAGAAAGAGATGCGAATTCCCACCAAATAAACACGCCCCCCCAGTCCCATCACGCGGAGCCTGTCCTGGCACAAGGGCCGAGGACAAAGGGAAGGAAAACGGGGGGCGGGGCGGGGGGAGGACACAGACGCCTTCAGCCTCGGTCACAAACGCGGCCTCCAGGGCAGGACGAGAGGGCTCGCCTGTGTGCTTCTGGGGACAGGGCAACCCAGAACTCCACGGGATGGGGTGGGCGCGGTGGGGGCGCCGGAAGGCGGGCTTCCCATCACCTGCGCACGAGAGAGGGCATGACCGGCAAGGGATCCCTCTGGGATCCACCACAGCAGCGGGACCTGGAGACCCGGACCTTAGAAACGCCCGCTCTCCAGAGGCAGCTGGCTCTCTTCTCTCACGCCTGAGCACGCATCGCATCCCAGTCATTTCTCTCCAAGTCACCTTCCTCTGCTTACGACTTCCCTGAGGTGACTGGAGGCCGTGTGCCCTGCTCCCAGGGGGTGGGTACTGAGGCAAGAGCAGCTCGAAGCAGGAAACGCACGCGGCTTGCGCGAGCCACCGAGCGTGGACCCCAAGCAGCCCGACCTCCGCGTGGAACGCCTAAACCAGATCATTACCGCCGACCTGATTCGGACTTGAAAAAATAAGCTGAACCGATCGAGTCCTTTATAGCCTCAGGTACCGCAGAACGATCAGGACCCTATGAAGCGTAAAAGGAAGCACCGTAGTGACAACAGCTGCCAGGAGACCTAACCTGGGGCCCTGCAGCACCACCAACCACCATGGCACCGCAGACAGGTCACGTGAACTGCCGGGACCGCAGGCTCCCCGATAAAGCTAACGGGTCCAATACCGCTCTCAAGTTCCTCTCAACTCTAAAATTTCGTGATCCGTTCATTATTTTCAGCTCAAGTACTTTCAGACGTCACGATGGCAAGAGTTCAATTTTCATCTAGCAATGAAAATGAAGAACGACGTGATTAAAGACATAAAAGGGGCTTGTAAAATTAATGCCGCACAGGGGTGAGAAAGGAAAGCGAGCGTGCTGTGCACTGAGACACCTCTTCCTGCCACTCATTGTCATGAGCTGGCTGACCTACCACCCCTCGTTGGGGTTCTGTTTTGTTCTTTTACACTGCGGCAGGTAAGCAGGGCCCCGTGCACTGGGGGAGCGACGTGCGGAGCAATAGGGTCAGGGAATGCTGCCCCGTACCGAGCGGGCGGGCGCTGGCCAGGGGGCTGGGGCAATGGGGGTTCCCGTCCGCACAGCCCCTGGGGTGACCCCTCAGTGCTCACCTTCCACCAGCTGGTCCAAGCTGGAAATCTTCTTGAGCCCATCGATGGTGTAGATGGTTCTCACTCCCTGGGGCAAGTTCACGTTATCCGACAGAGTTCGGGTCAAATCCGCCAGCAGGGCCTCAAAGGACCGGAAGCGGTCCGGGGAGATGGCGTAGACGATGCCCTTGAAGTAGCGGTCCCCGTTGCGGTAGAAGCGCACCTTCTTGGCCTTCTTCTCGGAGCTGAGCGTCTGCAGCGTGCGCGTCCGGTAGAAGCTGCAGTGCGCACTGTGCGTGGGGCTGGGCAGCCCGTTGGCCCGCGAGCCCCGGCTGTATCTCTGCGCCTTGTCCCGCTCGTCGAAATGCTCCAGCTCCATGTCTCTGCCCAGGGACATGGTGCGCGTGGCTCACGTTCAACCTAGGGGCGGGCACAGGGACAGAAGCGGAGAAGCACACTTAGGTTATTTTAAGATCATGATTGGAGAGGCTCGGCTTGCGAGCAGCTGGTGGGAACAGCGCTCTCACGGATGGTATGTTTAATAGGAGCCATCAAGTTGGGACAAGAAGAGAAGACGACCAAGAACGAGGCGGGCCGTGGAAACAGCTTACTCATCAGCCTTCGTTTGATTAGAAACAACTCCCGCGGACCGACCCCCTAACAACACCTCAGGCTCTGAACAGCTGTTACTGCCAACAGTCACGGCAAACCTATTTACGGATGAAGAAACCAAGGCACAGAAAAACCTCCCCGAGGCAGGCAGCTGAGAAATGCCTGAACCAAGACCTGTGACTCCCAAGCTCGGGCTGCCGGCGGGGAGGGCGCCCGCCAACCCTGGTGACAGGAAGAGAGGCAGCGCCACGTCCCCCTCCGCCTGGAGGGGTGGGCGGGCCAGGACACAAGGGCCCGGGCGGCATGTCGTCATCACATTGTCACCGCGCCTTAGTGTCTGTGCTCCCCATGGCCAGATGGAATCAATCTGCAAGTTCTACCAGCTCGGGAGATTTTCCAACACATCCGCCAATCTAATAGACATTATTTAAAAGTGAATTCACCATAACTCATTTACGTCCACTTAGTGCTTCTGAGAAGTTGGATTAAAGGAGGGGGAGGGGGAGGGGGAGGGAGACGAAGAGGGGAGGGTGGGGAGAACAACAAAAACAAGAGCAAGAAGAAAGTGCAGAAGGGCCTTCGCTCCCACGGAGGCTCTCGCTTCCTGGTGGAGGAACTCGAGGCTTGGAGACGCTGGTTCAGACCGGACCCCGCACGAGCCACACAACCTTGAGAAAGCTACTTGGTCAATCAACATCATTAAAACTCAAGCCCTTGGCCACGCACGGGAACAACCACAGGGCCTATCCCGGAGCGAACAGCAATCATCAAATCCACTAACATACATACAGCACGTAAGGTAGCGTCTGGCATGTACTAAGATTTAACATTTGTATTAATGAAGTCGGCTTTTCTGTCCCCGACTCTGTCCAAGAAAGAACGAGCAGGAACAGACTCTCCCCGCTCCTGGTGGGCGAGGCTCCCGGCCCTGACCTCCGGGGGGCGCGGCCCTCGCCCCAGGCTCCCCGGTTCACCTTCTGCCGAGCCGGCTGGCCGCGAGCTGTGTCTGGGATCGGGCCGTCCTTGCTAAGGGCTTAGCTGACACGGCGGGTGGGGTCGTCCCCTGAGGGGGACCCGTGTTTTATCAGGTTAATCTAGCAAGTGGAAAAACCTACAATTCAAAGGTTCTAATGACAAAATTTCAGGGACGTTGAAATAAAAGATAAGGGAAAAAGGAAAATGCAGGGCAGCCACGTCTGAGGGCTCCCGAAATCCCATGACGTCCTCTTTCCGAAAGTCGGTCCAAACCTGCTGGAAGCGCCGCCAAGGCTCCCTGACCTTCCTGTGACCTCTGATCCATTCAGAGTGGCTAAAACTTCACGCTTAAAAGCATGTATCCCCCAGAAATGAATGAAGAAAGAGCTACCATTCGCTGGACGTCTGCGACGTGCTGCCCACTATGGCTCTGCCGCGCGGTACTGCGTAATATGCTGAATATTCTCTTCTAAACCTCCAGACAGTCCCACGAGGCAGGTAACATTGTGACTGAGGGTGAGTATGGGGTCCATCCAGGGCCCCAGCATCACAGCTGAGGGAGGCAGGATTTGAACCCAGGTTTTCTGCCCAACTCTGAAGTGGGCACTCCCTCCGTGCCTCCCCAGCTCTGCAGCCCAGAGGCCCAGACCCCCTGAGACTAGACCGTCCTGACCGGGCAAGAGGGCCTTGTTGAAGCCCTCGTTCTAACGAGCCCGGTGACCGCGGGCAGGCCACGGACCGGCTCACGAGTCCGCAGAGGAGGCCGTGGTCAGCGGGGCTCCGGGGCCGCTTCGCTGGCTCCATTCCCTGCTGACCCCAGCTGGGGCGGGGTGGGGCGGGGTGTGACTGCAATCTGGAGCGGTTAGCCCCTGGCCGGGTGGCCCAGTGGGTCGCAGCGTCATCGCGGCACAGCAGAAGGCCGCGCATTCCTTCCCAGTCAGAGCGCACGCCTGGGTTGCGGGTTTGACGCCTGGTGTGGCCGCAGATGGAAGGCGACCGATCAATGTTTCTCTCTCACATTGGGGGGGGCGGGTGCATGCGTGTGCGTGCGTGTGCATGTGCGTGTGCGTGTCTCCCCCGACCCCTTCCTCTCTCTAAAATCAACTTGTTTAAAAAAATATCCTTGGGTGAGGATTTAAAAAAATTAAATCTGAAGTGATTATCAGTTCGGTGTGTTTTCCTCCAAACAGGAAACTACCTCAGGCCTTTTAATCTGCAACGTCCAGGGAGAGGCACACGGCACATGCCGGTAAGTACACGCCGGCTGCCCTGGCTTGGAAGTTAGGTGATTTCACAACAATGATCCGTTGACACCCCGTCTTTCAGGAAGCTCTTGAATAACGGAACCAACATTTTGCCCGGGAGATCAGAGCCGCTCCTACTTTTTAAGATTTGTTATTAAAAGGAGCCCTTTGTCTCCAAAAGGGGGTTGGGGAGGTGACCCGGGCAAGACCCGCACCAACTCACTAAACTCTTCCAACGTGCAAATCAGAAAGGCCAGGTGGGCTTCCGAAGACGGCGTTGCCCTCCTAAGGCCAGCGGCCACTCTCCCAGCCCGAGGGTTTCCGCCCCCAGCCCGGGCAAGCCCGAAGGAACCAGAAGGAGCCCAGCCGCGGCAGCCACGACAGGGCCACCGGACAGCGCAGGTCCCCTCTGAACGTGCTCTGGGAGAATCGCAATTTGCGAAGACCAAAAAATCGAGCGACTGCTGGAAGCCCTCAGAGCAGGCGGGCTTTTAGAACCAAGAATTCCACAGCAAATGGAAAAAATCAAAAAGATCAACAAAGAGAGAAAAGCTGATTTTGTTTCGTTTTATTTGCATCTTTCCCTAAACGGCTCACACGGTCCCGCAGGGCAGGGACCCCTGGCACCCTCCACTGCCCTCCGGCGAGCCTGCCCAAAAGGAGGCGCTGACGGTGGCAACAAAGAAAAACCCCACTCAAAGTGAAACCATTGTCAAGGCGGCAGCCACCGCTCCACGTGCGTCAGCGACCGCGTGACGCATCCAGTCCTTCCGTGAGGCATCCGAGGAGGTGGGCTGCCCCGGCCCTGGGCGGCTCAGCCCCCCGTGGGCTCCGACCTCTGCTTGGCCAGGAAGATTCGCTGCGCCTCCAGGAGTTGCCGCCCTGCGCGCAGGGCGCTGAACGCGCACAGCCACGCGGTCACAGACCACGGGTGGCTAAGGGCCAGGGCCACATGTGTGGCGGCACCCAGACAGTGCCACACCGCCTGAGCCAGAGATCAGAGACACTTGGGTGGGGAAGAAGTGGGCGGCGGGGGCCTCACGCCCCAGATGCTCCCAACTGCCGGGCCAAAAATCAGCACCTCCATTGTTCCCTGGGGGACTTCTCACCGTTCTGAGGAGCCTGTGTTGCTCGGGCTCCAGGTGAGCTCATGAGTTTTTGTTTCCCTCCACCCAACACACACACACACACACACACACACACACACACACACAGACCCCAAGACATAACGTGGCATCAGTACTGCCACATCGAAACCAGCGCGAGAGCTGCAAGCCCCCAGGCCTATTTCTGCCCACGGACCACAATGCAGGTGGGCGGACGGGCTGGAGGCAGAGGCACGCGCCGCGGCAGCGTGGCTGCGCCCCGCCGGACGCAGACGTGGCAGCCGGTGTGTGAAACCTTCACACTGCTTCTCCATGGAACCGCTCTCTTAAAACTCCCACCTGACCCGCAGCCATGTGACACTTCATGCTTAAAACGCTGTCCCATTTTCCTGTCCCTGCCAAAGGCGATTCATCTGGGAACCTTCGTAAAACGCATTCAGAGAACAGCCTGCAGTGTGGCCGCGGCGCGCGTGTGCGCCCTAATCTGGACACCGGTTCCCTCACAGGTGCGGAGAAAGGGAGCCGGTTGGAATGGAAGGCGAAGCAGGGAATTCATTGGGCGATGTCTTTCACCTGCGCCGTCTCCTACCGGCATCTCCTGGCCGAATCTAGCGCAAGCCCGGCTGGCGAACGCAGCCTCTTTTGTGGGCAATGCAGGGCTGTGCGTGCGCTCCCACTAGGAGGAAAATGCCGGTCCCTCCCCGCGTGCTCTCAGCTCTGCAGGGTCTCATTCGCAGGGGAGCAGCCTCGCCTTCCCCGAAGGAACTTGCGGCGCCCACGCGGCAGCCGCCCACCACGCCGACATCGCCCCATCCGCCAGCGCACGCCGCCCGCGCCCGAGAGCACACAATGAGAGGCCTGGCCCGGCCCCTCCTAGGCGCGGACGGTGCTCGCTCCGCGGCGCGTTCTGACAATGACCAGCCCCTCGCCCAGCCCCTCCGCCCTGGCTCTCCTTCTCCACCAACAACGGGGCGAAACGCTGGGGCGGCGGCCTGGGGGCGGGGGTCGCTCGCCCGACTCCCCGTTTTAAACCCGGTGGCACCAGACAAAAGAGGCAGGTGCCAGCAGCCCCGGGGCCGCCCGCACACACCGCCCGCGGCCGGGGCCAGGCTGGCCAGGCGGGCAGCGCCTTTCGAGGAACGGCGGGCGGGGGTGCGGCGGCGGGCCAAGCGGGGCGTCCGCCCTGCCCCCAGCGCCCCGCGATCCCTGGCGCCCCGCGGCCGGCCTCCCCGCGGCTCCCCTCCCCAGCGACGGCAAACCACGCACCGGTCCGCCGAGAGACGCCGCCGGGGCTCTTTGTGGCCGCCTCCTGGTGCTGTCCTCGCCGGGCTGGGCGCGGCCGGCGCGGCGCGGGCCGGGGCCGGGCTGCCTGGGCTGCGGGAGCGGGAGCGGGAGCGCGGGCGTCTGGGCTTCGGCCGCTAGTGCAGGGACGCGCCCGGGCCCGTCCTCATTGACACGCG